TTACTTGACAAGCAGTGGCAATGAAAACTTTAAAGGCCTGCAGCTCAGATGTTGGARCTGAACAGTGCTTTTTTTAGTTGCAAGAATGTTACTAGAGGAGGAAAACACGTGTGGTAACCACTGGAACTCCATCTTCCATTACCTTAGGAACAGGCAGTTGTGATCAGAAATTATCATGCACCATTTTCAGAATTAGCCTGTAACATATTTGAAACTGTTACCAGGTATCAACATAAAACCTGTTTTCCTAAATATTCATCTGTGAGTGAGTGTTAATTAATCACAGACTAGAAATCGATACTTCCTGGCAGCAGATTTAATGACAGCATTTTCTTAAAAATGCTTAACCCACCTAATGGCAGTACTTTTGCTGTGGCAATGGCAACTAACTGAACCATCTAGAAGGCACACACACAAACACAAGTTAACTGTTGTTACCTGGACAAAGAGTGTGGCATATTATACACTATGCAGAAACATTGCAAAAATAACATCTAGCTGAAGGAAAAGCTTAAAAAATACAGATATTGTTTTTATTTTCTCCGTATTTTGCAATTTACAAGGTGGGGGACAGATTTGCCTAGTGAAAGAGAGCAACAAAATTCTTTCAATGTGTACTTTTTTCCTTCAGTCTCCGGACCACTGGACCATGTCATGTCAGTTCAGTTGAACATATAGGCAAGAGAAGTTTAATGTTTGACATATTCTCTCCTACTAACAAATTTGAAGATGAACATTTACCATAAACTAAATGAGACCATTTTGTTCACACATGCACAGATCCAGTTCAAATCAATAAGATGCTATAGTGCAATTTTACGACCAAAAAAGAAAAACAGGCACATGCCAGTCACTGCACAAGTTTCAGCTTGTCTCCAGAAGCTTGATTGTGGTCTTCAGCCTGTACAGCAGGTGCTTCATAGAGCTTTAGATATATCCTTTTAGTAAAAGAAACTAGGACACTGGGATTTCATCACAGTTTCTCAGAAAAAAAAAAAAAAAAMCAACAAAACTTCATAGAGATGTGCCCTAGTTTAGTTGTTTCTTTGGGGATGGGTTCTTTGATAGCATTTTAATTTGAAAACTCTCTTTTTCTACATTCTTATAGGTGATCACATGCAGGATCATGGAAGAAAAGACACTCGAGTAGTTCAAGCAGCTAAGACAGCAACCAAAATAACAGCTCATGTCAGGTGGTTTCTGAGCTCCTTGTGCACTCTTTCAGGGCAGAGCTGCCACTACCAGTTCTGCAGAGGTGTTTCCTGCTCTGCACACTGATCTCCTCTGCCTAGTGTGGGCTCTGGCATGGCTGGAAAAGGGTGATATCACCATGAAGATATTGCCGAAGAGGAATACAAGGTGTTGGAAGCTAACAGGGTTTGCAAATTGCACTGTTCCTGCACATAGATCTCATGTCTGAGGCTCAACCAAAGAGAAAGACAYGGCTAATTTAGCAGACCTGGGCTCACCACAGGAACTTCATAAGTACTGAGACAGCATGAACCATTAGGAAGCTTAGGAGCTTTTTGGGTAAATGAACAAAGGTAATTTGGCTAAGGTAATAAACAATTTGCTTTGGGTCTGAAATGCCAGAGCTTTATGTAATTTTGGGGATCTCTGCCAGTGCTCTTTTATTGTGTTTTATATCCAGATGTAACTGTAGGGCAGCAGAAGGCTTTATTCCACAGTCGAGTATGATGGTGTGCTATTTGCTTGACATATTAGAGGCATGAGTGGCACTGCCTATGAAATTAATTCAGTTTATTGCCAAGGTAGCAGTGTCTTGCATAGTACCTACGAGTTTAAGCATGAAAACCTAATTAAAGTGGGCAGATAACACTGGTGGCACGCACTGGCCTTCTCTGCATAGAAGGTGGAGTAGGGGATCCCGGGGGTAGGTACACCCCGTACAACACAGCCTGACCGAGTGTTTGCTGTGCCAGAACAGCGTAGTTTCTACTCGTAGTTTCTACTGTGTCAGCCTGTGTGCCGACGCTCAGACACCCACCGAACGCTTCYGTGCTAGTGTTTAACTACTGCGTGGTGCAAGTGTCCGCGGCAGAGTACTTCCATCTGGACTCCTGTTACTTCCTGGAACAGGGCAGGAGGGAGAACCTTTTCAGGCGGGTTAGTACTCCGCCAGGAGTGCCTCCCCAACTGAGTGTGCTCAGGTTGGACAACAGGAGGAATTTCTCACAGAAAGGATTGCCAAGCATTGGAACAGGCTCCCCAGGGAGCTGGTGGGCTCACCCTCTCTGGAGGTGTTTAAGGGAAGCCCGGACGTGGCACTTAGTACCGTGGTCTAGTTGACAAGACGGTGTTCGGTCAAAGGTTGGACTCGATGATCTCAAAGGTCTTTTCCAACCTAAATAATTCTGTGCGCCAGGAGGCACCTGATGCCGAAAGGGTGCAGCAGCAGCGGGATAAGAGACAGTTTGTCCTGCACGCCACTGCAGGGGAGCACCCGTGGCATGCGCCGCCCGGCAAAAGGGGATGGCCTGAGAGTGAGCCCCGTTCTGTTGGCGCGCCTGCCGCGCTACCTGCGTGTCTGTGGCCGTGACGAGAACCCGCCCCGCGCTCACCCGCTCGGCCCGCGGGCGTCTCGGCGGAGGAAGGCGTGAAGCGGCGGCGGGCGAGGGCGCGGTAGCGCCCGGCACTCTCTGCCGGCGGTCCGGGGACTTTCCCCTAGGCGGGCGCGGGGCCCATGAGGAACCGCTGTCCTCCGTGCATAGCCTAGCGAGCAGGTCTTCAGAACATCCCAGACTACCGTACTGGGCACTATCGTAATATAAAAGACGGCGGATGAGACAACCTCCAGGACAGGGTGATTAATTTGATTATTATTCATTTGCCTCCCTGCTGGTCTCCGCGGACGATTCACAGCGCATGGGTGGCCTGGCCACCCCCCTAGGGGCGCCGCGGCCCAGGGCAGCCGTGGAAGGCGGCCGCGGAGGGCCGCAGCGGTGCCGGGAATACGCCATGCAAATTAGAGCGCCTTGGCCTCGCCCCGAGCCGGGCGGGCGCGCTAGCCCCGCCTTGTGGCCGCCGCTGAGGCCGCCCCAGCGCCGCGGGCTGGAACAAGRAGCGGCGAGCGACACGGCCCACACCTGGGAGCCCCTAACAGCAGCCAGCGGCCGGCTGTCCGCAAGGATCTTGCCGTAGGTGGTAAGGCTGTGCCAGTAGTCCCCAGAGGAAACAGGAGTCACACTGATGGCTGCAATTTCCTCTMCTCCGTAGAAAAAAACTGACTCCCGGGATCACTTCTCTTGTTGGTTGGTTTGCTTTGTCCCCCTGAGACAACTCTGCACACCTACAATGWAAGTGCAGGCAGGTGTTCTCGCCGGCCCCCATCAGCAGGGTCTCATAGTTAAAGACCAGCATCCCAGTCGCTTGGGATGAGAGACCTGGACATCCCAGAGACCAGGACAGTACCTGAAGGGGAGAACCAGAGGTTTTAGAACTGACAGGACTGCACAAGCACTTCTTGCCACAGCCAGGTCTTTGAACTTCTTTCTTCCTCTAGGACAAATGGGTTAATAATTTCTCATTCAAATACTCAATGCTTACTCACTTGCTTGTTAGAATCCTCGTGTTGCTTTCCGTAAAAGTGAAATAAAAATAACACAATTCAACTTTCAGTTTCTATTAAGAGTAGCTACAGACTTGTTCTTTAATGATTCACAACCAAACATCAAAGAGGAATAACATTCAAAATTTTTTAAAAAGTAATCCTAAGTCAGGTCTTTTAAAAAWGGCATCTAGCACCTCAGCCTTTTAACATAGTTGCCCTAACAACCCCTTGAGGTCAGTGAATATTGAGAGCTTTAATTTACAGATGAGAAACACAGGTTTTCACATTGCAACACCTGCTGCAATTCTGAACCAGACATCTGGAGATGCCCAAACTAACAGCAGAGAAAGCTGTATTACAGAGGGCACAGGATGTAACTCCTGCCCCACAAACACAGTCCGTCCATGTGTCTACCTGAACGAAGTGAGGATTTGAAAACAGATCCCCCGCTTCCCATCACGAACACCACAGCTCCTAGGCACAGCACGAAGCTTGCCCTGCACTAGAAGCATACACCAATTCTTGCACTAAGCTATAATTTAGCACATTGCATTCTGAACATCGGGTGGTGCTCCAGGAACGGCAAGGGGGAACTCCTGAGAAATCTAACTAGGGCGAAGGGCAACCAAGGGCACAGAAGCACAGGGGTCAGATGGAGGAAATTCTCAAACAGCCCTCGGCAAATGTGAGCGCCTTGCAGACTCCTGGTGCTATAGACTGGACAGCCACTGCTGTTCAAAATCACACAGGGTACAGCATAAACACCACTGTGGTTTAGTCCCAAAAATCACAAAATAATTTGAAGTGGATGTATGTACTACTGAGATCCCAGAATTCCTATTCATTTTCATTTCTGTAGCACTTGATCACTGGATTGATCAGTCACGCATAAGGACGCCACTAAATGATGCTAACTACTGTAATAGGATAAGATTMATTCAAAATAGCACTGAAGACATTATGTTTTTACAATTACATGTCATTATCCAATATACCAAAGCATGCAGTTTGTGCAGGTACTTCAGCAACATTGAAAATAAAAGGTAATCTCCCACTGTCTTTGCCTCAAACTATTCCGTACAGGGAGTAAAAAAAACGTAGCAAAGAGAGGGCTTCAGTAGAATGAGTGCTTTACAATACACTCACTGTCTCCAGCAGACAGCAGCATCTTAATTTTGCTTATTTGGTGTTACAAAAGTAGAAATTGATATTCTGTAGGTCCACTCTATCAGTTTTACATTATTTCAGCTACACATCTAAAGAAACCAATCCATCTGTGTGGGATTACACTTCGAAGCCACTCAAAGTAAAGCTTTTCTGAAGCTGCTGCAATGTTATTGAAATGGCTGGAATATTTTGTAGCCAAAACCAAAGTACTATAAAAGTTTATCCCAGAGTTTTTATTGTTTTAGTAGTGGTCAAAATATACTTAGTAAAGAAATCCATGTTTATTTGAAAAACAAAAAACACCAAACAAAACTGTAAATGATACCTCACCATATAAATTAACTCTGCTTACAGTTTTGGTGGCCAAAATAGCTGTGACTTGACTGCTAACTGCTAATTTGCCAGTGTGATATTAAATKGGCTCTAACCTGATAGTATAATGTTAAATGGGACCAGGATGTCACTTACATTGCAAGTGTTATGAAAACATCCCATAAAAATAGTCAACCAACTATTTTCTCTCCTAGTATGAACAACAGTAAACATTATGAGCAACAAGCCTGAAACAGATGATTCAACTTTTTGAATGAAATTTTTAAACAACTTTCAATTATTCAAGTATTATGGTCCCTATGTACACACTTCTACGTGGCTAGAAAAGATATGGTAGACAATTGAGCACACTACCATCAAATTGTAAGAATTACAAAAATGTCAGATTTTCAACAGCAAATTGTATCTTAATAGTTTAATTAAAAATAGAAGAGTTAGGTAGACTATTCTGCAAACACAACAGCACACTAGTGTGCTGTATATTAAGGCAATACCTTTAAATGCGCACTTGTCATCTCTAACAAGTTTTATACAATTGCTACCAAGTGAAAGAACTATCATTGTCTTGCAAAACTGAGAAAGAAATACAAAATATCTGGAAGCCTACATTTTCAAAGTACAAAATTAACCTTCAGTCCTTGTGTTGAAATACTATACACAGTACAGTGATTCTCCCCTACAAGATCTCACGAGGATTTCTTAAAGCTGGCGGCAAATTTGAAGGTTTCGACTCTTCATCCAGAAGCACCAAATCTTCAATTTCACTACCTTTGTATTTTCTTTTACATATCTTCACAATAACTTTCTTCTTGAGGAATAATTTCAAAGCTTCTCTTGAAGCTACTGCTTTGGCATTTTCCATACTTTTACCACAGCCAGTACCCAAGTAGACAGACTTGCACCTCAGTTCACAAACGATATTTTCTAGAGAGCTTTTATTTTGAGGCAAGTCTGCAAGTTCCTTCAGGGGAACAAAAGCAACATCTAATGTAGCTTTTACAGACTGAATAGATGAATTTAGAAGTTCTGCATGATTTACATTAGGACTGAAGCCTCCAACAGCAACCAGTTTCCAGGCTACAGCTTTGTAGAGTCTGTTGAAAAAAGGTTGTCTTTCCTTAGCATCTTCACTGGTTAGCGGTTTGCACAAAGCCTTCGCAGGGCTGTCGCCTGCCTGCAAGCCACCCTTGGAAACCAGCAAGGAGGCACCTGCCTGAGCTCCACCCCGGGAGGGCCCCTGCTGAGCTACGCTCCGAGCTGCCAGCAGTGAAGCAGCCACCTGGGCACTGCTCTTGGAAGCGAGCAGAGATGATCCTGGCTGTGTGCCACTCCGAGCAGCCAGCAACGAGGCAGCCACCTCTGCACTGCTCTTAGAGGCCAGGAGTGGGGAGCCCACCTTAGCAGTGCCCTTGGAGGCCAGCAGCAGCGAGGTGCCCACCTGAGTGCCACTCTTGGGGGCCAGAAGCAGTGAGCTGCTCACCTGAGCACCGCTCTTGGACACTGATGCTGGGGCACTCACTTGGGCTTTGGAAGACAGCAACGCAGCACTTGCTTGCGGGGTGTTCTTGGTGGTTGGTGGCACTGCTGGCACCTGTGGGGTGCTCTTGGTGGTCAGCGGCACTGTTGCTGCTACCGCTGCTGCTTGTGGGGTGCTCTTGGCAGCTGGTGGCACTGCTGCTGCTACCACTGCTGCCTGTGGGGTGCTCTTCGATGTTGATGGTACTGCCGCTGCTACCACTGCTGCCTGTGGGGTGTTTTGGGCAGCTGGTGGCAGTGCTGCCACTACTGCCTCTGGCTGAGGGGTGCTCTCAGCAGCCAGTGGTGCTACACTTACTGTAGTTTTCTTTTCAGGTGATGGCATATTCTCACATTTGCTTTCCCTAGGTGGGCTTGAGCAAGGCTTCTTTCCTGTCTCTTTTTCAGATGAAGGTGGCTTTTGCTCAGCAGTACTTTCAGTATTAGCAGGTTTTCCTTCTGTTTCCATGTCTGTGACTGTGACCATTTCTTGATCTGAACTGCATGTTGACTGGGAAGTTTCTGAACCTTTGCTAGTACCTTTTTCCTGCTTTTTCGGCAATGTCCTCTCTGTTTCCTTCACGCCTTCTGCCTTGGTTGTTTTCACATCCTTTCCAGCCTTAGATTCTCTGCTTTTCTCAACAGCTTGTCTCTTGCAGGGCTCCTCTACCCCTTCTGCAAAACAAGTAAAATATGTGATCCTCTTTGATTTCTGCGCTATGAAATATCCATGTAGAGAGAAATCATCTAAAACCTTCTAGCAATCATCTCTGTGAATTTAAAGAGCATATATTAGCAATACACCTCTGAATTGTCATTTAAAATATTAACTTATTTCAGATTTTTTTTTTGACAAAATCCTGAAAATACTCATGTGAGATTTCAGATATTGGTTTGGGACCTGCAGGCAAGTATATATTCTTGAAGTCCAAACCCAAAGTGCCCAACRTACATTAAATGGGCTATCTGACCTAAAAATAAATGAAGTGTATTTTGTCCACTAATATCATAAAAACATTCTTAAAACATCAGTCTGAGAATTTCTTTAAGAAATTCTGTTTCTCAGGCAGCAAAGTAACAAGGACGTATTTAAGCTGGAGTACAGCAGCTCACACTGAAACGCACAATCAGCTTACAGTGCACCGGTCGTAAAAATTTAAAACAACAGCTCTACATTACCAAAGAACTACATACACATTATGCCCATTTTAAGAGACATTATAGTAGAAAAAAAATAGCACAGACAGAGGAAACAATTAACGGGAGTTTTAAAAGTAAATTATTTTGACTACTTTCTACGCCCGAGGCAAACCGAGAACATTCAAAACAAGCATTTTCTAGACTCCTATGTATTGTCACAGCTATGATCTGCTAACCATTGCTACTTGATATGCCTCTTTTCTTCACCTTGGCAACCAGTTCGTCTCTCGTGGTGCGGACAGGCGCGTCGGTCACTTGGATGCCTTCGGCCATTTCCAGCGCCTTCTCCATGACCTGCGGCGGGTACCTGGAGGGGCGACAAGAAGGGAAGTGGCTTCGTCAGACGGTCGTGCCGCGCCGCCCCCCTTTCATCCGGCGGGTCCCGCTGAACTCACCGGCATCCCAGGAAGACGTGGTTGGCCCACACCATGGAGAGGGACACCAGGCGCTGCAGCTGGGCGCTGCCCGCCGCCGGCAGCTCCCCCACATTGCGCAGCAGGAACTCCCGGCGGTATCGCCAGTGGTGCTCGGGCTCGCAGGCCCCGCGCAGCGTCTCCGCCCAGGCCGCCTCTTCCGCCGTCCGCCCCAGGGGCTCGCCCGCCGCCGCCTTCCCCGCCATAGCCGCCGCCGCCGCCGCAGAAACACCCGCCCCGCCCCGCCCCGCCCCGCTAGTTCCGGGCGGCGCGCTGTGAGCTCATATCCGCCGGGCCTGGGCCGGGCCGGACGGGGCGGGGCGGAGACGGGCCGGGAGGGGAGTGGGAACGGGAGCGGGAGTGTTAGGCGTTCGTGGCCGCAAATTTCGGGGTGCCGGCGGAAGGGAGGGGATTTAGGCGCGGCTACGAGTGTTGTGTTCTGGCTGGTGAAAGCATGATCAAAAGTTCTGCTTCACGGGTTAATTTTTTTTACTGAGGTCGGAGTTCATGGGAGGTCAGTTGGTGTTTTACCTCAGAATCACAGAATAAGGTTGGTAAAATCCTTTGAAATCGTCGACTCCAACCTCTGACSGAACACCACGTTGTCAGCTAGACCATTGGCACTAAGTGCCATGTTGAGCCTTCCTTCCCTTAAAAACCTCCAGGGGTGGTTCCACCYTCCAACCTSCACCACCTCCCTGRGCAACCCATTCCTATGTCTGATCAGGTAGAGAGTGACAAGGTCTCCTCTGAGCCTCTTTTCTCCAGGCTAAACAACATCAGCTTCCTCAGCCACCTYTGATAATACTTGTGCTCCAGACCCTTCACCAGCTTCCTTTCCCTTTTCTAGACTTCCTCCAGTTCCTCAATGTCCTTCCTGAATTGAGTGGCCCAGAACTGGACRCARCAGTCAAGGTGTGGCCTCACCAGTGCTGATTACAGAGGGGCAATCCTTTCCCTGTTCCTGCTGGCTACACTATTTCTCATCCAGGCCAGGGTRCCATTGGTCTTCTTGACCATCTGGGCACACTGTTGGCTCATATTTTGCTGGCTCATGTACAACCAGCACCCCTAGATTCTTTGCTGCTGCCAAAAGGAAAAGGACTCTCAGGTCCTCTTCCCCTTTCGTCCTCAGTGCTGTGCACAAAATCGGATTTATTACCTGGTGTGTAACAGGACAATAAATACATACTCAAGAGAGAGATATTATTTATTTCAGAGTTGCACAAGCCTGGGTGCTCAGTGGTATTCTACAAATCAAGTACCCCCTTTCTGATTTTCTGTGCCATTATTTCTACATAGAAGTTTGGAGTCAGTAACTTTCCAAGGGCAACCCCTCTATTATGATGGGTTAATGATTTCCATACAAGTTATGTAACGCCAGTTAACTTCCATGCAATGCAGAGGGGAGAGGTCTTTACCCAGGCAGGGGTATTCTGACCTATAGGGACAATTTTTAATATTATAATGTTGATAGTTCAGGTATGGGATACATGGACCTTGAGTACTTGACAAGTAGCAATGTATATGTAGACGTTCATCAACATTGTGATTTGCTGTGTTCTTAAAGCCTGTTAATTCCTGGATGTCCTTGACTAAGGGATGCTAGTCTTAGGTCTTAGGAAGAGATTAGGTCTCTGTTCTTAATAATTAGGCTTGCACCAAAGAATATGTTGATTTTAAATGATCTTGGCATRTTCCACATTTTACAACATTGGCATGTGACAGGAAGGATGACAGGAAAGTAGTGGCAAGGACATGGGTTGTTTTAATATTTTGGAGGAAGCGTTAAATGAGGACTTCTGGCTACAAAGAATTCACCTCGTTGCTCTTGCAGCTCTGTAGGCTGTCTTTCGTTTGCAAAATATTACTCCAGAATTTGATTCAAAACCATTTGAACAAGTGTCTGTAAAAAAGTAATAAGCATGCTGTGAAAATATCACAGGCCTCAGTCTGCCAAGATGGTGCTTGCTGAATCAGAGCAAAAGAGGAAAGAATTTTGAATTCCGAAGGGCTGTCCCTTGAGAGCTGTATTGATTTTTTCTTTTGAATTAAAAGTCTGGGTTTGCTTAAGTTTTCAATTTTTAACACTTACATGTCAGTATGAAGTGAACTACAGGGTGGATTGCATTTAAGGAGGGAGTGTTTCCCCTTAACTGACTTAGATGTCTTATTTTGTGGAAATGGTTATGTAGTGGTTTAACTAAGAGTACCTCTATAGAGCAAAAACTAAGTGATTAGGGAAATGAAGTMAAAAATATATAGTCCAGTGCACTTTTGCTCTTCACCTATTGTTAGGGTGGAAGTGCTTTTACTTTACTTCCCTCAAATGCCCACACAATGTTATTCTGTGCATTGGCAAGAATAATTCAGTGATAGAGAATAAGGGAACAGCAATGCATAGGATGGGGCTGACAGGCTCACTGTTGTTTTGTGTTTATGCATAGAGGAAGAAAAGGGCAGAAAGTTTGTACCCTCTCTGCTGTGGGAGTCTTGGAGCTATGGGTTTGTTACAAAACAGTGTCAGAATGTTTAGAAACAGCACTGTAGTCACCACATTATCCAGGTATTAGTTGTATCAGTCCCACATGTGGTCATCTGGTAATGTAGGCTCAAACACAGGAGGGGCATGATCTGTCACACTAGGGTTTCTGCTTAGAGGTGAGGTGGACCAGCCTCCTAGACCTCTGGTTTGTTATACCACAATTTTTGACTTCATGGTTGGTACAGACCCTAGAAGGGAAGGGTGAATGGAATCCCTGGCAAACTTAGGTTTTTGTTTGCACCTGAGCCAAGATCATCCATGCTGCCAGCCTGTTTGTTCACACTCTTCAGTTGAACCACTTTGCTTTCTAATGAAGGTGGTTGGGACTTGACCCAGGTTTGAGATCTGCCCCTCAGAGGCAGTAGGAGTTCAACCAAGCCTGAGTAGCTGCAGCAGAATTGTCTGTACTCTTGCAGAAGTAGCAGAGCAAATGGTACAGACAAGAATTCCCTGTCCTCCTCCACAAGCATCAAGTGGGCTAAGGACTTGTCCATGTTGAGCTGCTCCTATATCACCTAAGAGTGGGAGCTGGGGAGGATTATACTCCATAGGGTGATAGGAACATTTCATATACTTAGAGGGATCTCCAGAAGTCATATTCTGGTGTTGCTGGGTTAATGACRGCCAAACATCAGAGGTAGGACTCCACACCTCAGAGCTTTGTGAGTGCTTCTGGTCACCCCATGTGATAAGATTATATGGAATCACYGGTGAGTCGTGGGCTCCTACAAAAGCATTGATCTAGGAAGTGTTAGAGACAGCACAGCTACAGAGCTTAGTAGATTTTCTGGTTCTAGAGTGACTCAAGGACGGATTAAAGACCTTCTTCTTGCCCGATTTTAGAGGACAAATGAACTGAGAGCCCTTTCATCTCTTTGCCCACTGATAATATGTGTGAATACAACCGTTGGTGACACCTGGAGAAAAGTCAGAAAACAGTCCTGCACACATCTGGAACGGCTCACAAGAATTTTTCATTGTGAACAACTTCTATGGTCTGATACCTTTCTGTCACCTTATGCTTTAATTTTGGGTTAATTTTCTYCTGCATCAATTTATGGTACAAAGATGATTTTAAATTGAGCCTTTTGTCTTCCCTACCTGTTTTTAGTCCAGTCATATACCTTCTACTTCATTAATAGGTGCTTGAATCACTGGAAACAGGATAAATCCTAGCCCTAGAGTTTGGGATAGCATGCACAGATAAACATAGGTGTACCTGCAGTGCTCCCTGAGCACTAGAGACATACTGTGTCTCGGGTTGATTAAACGAGTGTGTGTATTAGAAAAGAGAGAAAAACACTGCTGTTAATTTTGAAAAACAAAACAAGTACTATTTTCATTCTCACCAGGATAGGCAGTTTTGAAGTTAAACACCTCACTGATGGTGCTAATGCTGTGCATTTAATTTTCAAACATTGGAAGAAAAGAGATGGTTTTGTTCCCACTAGGGAAGGAACTTCTAAATGCCACATCGATAGTAGTGTTGTTAAGAGTCATTTGGGGCTTGATAATAGCTGCTTTCAGCAAGATATAACAAAAATCTCAAGGTGAATCATACCAGTGTCTGTAAATCATAGTAATGCACCTGCACTTCTGGTATAAGTTTATTTGTGCTTTTATAAACCAGTGAATTATTATTTCTTCAAAATTAAATCCTACTGAAACACAGAGGGCAGTATCTCCCATGGAGTTCAGTTATGTTCTGCACAGTTAAGGTTAATATATAGTGTTATTCTCTACTCAGCTTAATACRAGAGCTGTGCCCTTAACATTATGCAATGCAAAGGGAGCTCAGAATTTTTGCCACAGAAAGGAAATGACAGTGGAATCTTACTGGCCTGGCACAATAAATCCCCTGAACACCATCTTAGGTTGGTCCATACTATAAGTAATAAGTAATTATTGGAGAGTTCTGGCTTAGGTTAATTAGAAATGCAGCTTGAAGAAGGATGGAGGAGAGACTTTTTGCTGTTTCCTGATATAATGTTATGTGTTCTGCTAGAGCAGATCATTGAAGTTCTCCTACCCAGGCAAGGGACAGCATTTCCAAGGAGACATCTCTGCATATGCCAAAGTAGCCAGTCATTACTGTTCAGTAAACTGATCCTTGGAACAAAATAAATTACTTGCTGGAAGAGCATTAATTACTTTGTGGGCTTGTCAATGGAAGTTAGAGTAGATCTGTATTTTTTRTTTCCTAACAGTCATGCAACTGTTCTTATGCTACTGTAAGCACCTCTATATTACAAAATCATCCACTGTTCTGAGAATGCTCAGATGAGGAAAATGTATTGAGTAATAACTGAGTATAAAAACTAAGGGTAAAAATGAAGGCAAATTGATAATAATTTTCCTTTACATATACATGTTCTTATTACCAACTTAAATACTATTTTGCATTTAATAATATGTTATACTTTAAGTATATAACAATCCCTACAATAGGGTTGTCAGTTGTTCTTGAAATGAGTTTGTTGAAATTTAACTACAGCTAAAGATAGCATATCAGTTGCTAAATTTTGCTTTCTGCACTGTGCTTTAGAGAGCATGCCACTTGCTAAAAGTCTGCTTGGCATGGAATTTACCATTGAGGATGGAAGTTTAGGATGACTTTTCTTCTGCTAAACATGATCTAAGAAAAAAGGGCTTCATCTASGGTAAATTACAGTGGAGATCTTA